GCACACCACTTCCCATTTAACCCAATTTATTTATTTTTTACCTCCCTCACCCCTTCCCCATAAGAATTGTTTGCGAACTTTGTCTAGTAAGGATAGCGTACCTTTTGGGAGAAGATGAGTCGACATTTGGAACACGGGCAATGAAGACAATACTGAGTTTATAAGAGTTATTCGGCCACCCGTCGAGACATACTTGCCTTTCCATTTTGCTAACTTCTTCTCAAAAGATTCAATCAACTCTCTCCAGAATATGATGTTTCTTGGATTGCCACCTACCCAAGTGCCCAGATATTTGAAAGGTATTGTGCCAATCTTGCAATTTAACAGGCTTGCCATCCGGGTTAACCATTCCTCTTCCACATTAACACCCATTAGCTGGCTCTTCGCATAATTGATCTTCAATCCTGACACCAATTCAAAACTTCTCATGATACACTTGATAGCCCATATATTCTCTTCTTCTGCCTCCCCCATGATCAAGGTATCATCTGCAAATTGTAGATGGGATATGCTTAATTCACCCTTCCCCACTTTAATGCCTTCTAGTAATCCCTTGCTTACAGCCTTCATTATCAACCCATTCAGACCTTCTGCTACCAACAAAAATAGAAAAGGGGATAATGGGTCCCCTTGTCTCAGGCCTTTTGAAATCTTGATTTGTTGTGAGGGGCTACCATTTATTAGCACATATATTGATGTAGTTTTCAAGCATTCCTGGATGCATTCCCTCCATTTTTTGCTAAACCCCATTTTGTTCATCATTGAGTCTAGGAAGTTCCAACAGACATTGTCATATGCCTTTTCAAAGTCTGCCTTAAAAAAGAAGCTTTTTCGTTTCTTGTTCTTTACCTCATCTAGTACTTCATTTGCAATCACAACACTTTCTGGTAACTGTCTTCCTGCAATAAAAGCCATTTGGGTGTCTCCAATTACTCCATCTAACACCTTTCTCAATCTGTTTGTTAGGAGTTTTGACAAGATTTTATACATCACCTCGATTAATGAGATAGGCCTGTATTCTTCTATTTTTTCAGGATCATTGACTTTTGGGATTAGAACTACAAAAGATTCATTTGCACCCTTCACCAACCTGCCCGTATCATGGAACTCTTGAATAAATTCCATTATCTCCTTTTTGATCGTCCCCCAGAATAATTTTACAAACCTGAAGTTGAGACCATCAAGCTCTGGTGCCTTTGAGCTGTCACAATCCCACACTGCTGCTCTAATCTCCTCCTCAGTGAATGGAGTTGTAAGGAAACAATTTTGTGCCTCAGAGATTTGCTCAAAACTCATATTTTCCAACTTTGGTCTGCTCCACATTTCTTCCGTGAATAAGTTTTGAAAATGCTTTGCAATCTCCTCTTTAACCACTGCTACCTCCTCACACTGCCTGCCATTGACCAGGATGCTATTTATTTCATTCCTTCTCTTTCTGTTTTGAAAGCATTTGTGATAGAATGCTGTGTTTGCATCTCCCTCCCGTAGCCATGTCCTCCTTGCTTTCTGTTGCCACATTTTGTTTTTTATTCTTGTGTTTTTCCATAGATCTACAAATCCCTCCCTCCTTTCTTCTATTTCTTCTTCTGAAAGTTGTTGTCCCTTTCCTTTCTTATCTAAATCTGCTATGATCTGTTCTGCATTGGCTATCTTCTGATCAACCTCCTCCATATAGTTGTGACTCCAGCTTTTCAAGGCATTCTTCAACTTTTTCAATTTTTCTTTTAAACAGAAGCCTTTCCATCCCTGTACCTCAGTCAATTGCCAAGTTTCCTCCACCAATTCCCTGAATCCCGGTTTCTCCATCCACACATCAAACAGTCTAAAAGGTTTAGGGCCCCAATCAACCTTCTCATTTTTCAATATCACTGGACAATGATCTGATATTGTTCTCTTTAATCCCCACTGTGTCACATCCTCCCAGTTTAACAACCATTCTTCAGACAACAAAATTCTATCCAACCTGCTTATAGCAGTACCATTTGAGTGATAGCATGTGAATTTTCTTCCAACCAAGGGTAGATCTACTAAACCGGAGTCATGTATAAACTGCTTGAACTCCATCATTTCTCTTATATTTCCACTACTCCCCACCCTTTCATGTTGTGACTTTACTGCATTAAAATCCCCTAGCACACACCAATTTCCCCTGCTTGTTGTCACTGCATTTTTAATCTCCTCCCACAATAGTCTTTTGCCTTCTATATCACAAGGTGAGTACACATTAACAATGTACACAGGCACTTTATTCTGTCCCCAAAATCCGAACACCCCTAAAAAATTTTGTCCTTCAAAAACTTTGTCTCTGATGAAACAATTTGGGTCCCAAATGCATAATAGGCCTCCTGATCTGCCATTAGAAGGTTTTGCTACCCATTCGCACTCATTCGAACCCCATAAAGCTCTACATACTCTTGTATCCACCCTTTCCATTTTAGTTTCCTGTAATGCTAGAAACTCTATCCTCTCCTTTTTAACTAGATTTAAGATCCCTCTTTTCTTCCCCCCACCCCCTATTCCTCTTGCATTTAAAGATAAAATAATCATTCTGGAGCTAAATTACCTGTTTTATCTTCCTCATCGCACTGCTTCTTCAAGCGATCTTTTGCTTTCCTATCTCTGATTTCCATTTGATCTATCTTTTGGGTAATTTCTTCTTCATTCCCGTTTGCCACCAGCCCAATTTCCTTTGCAGTCTCCTATATTTCCTTTACCCCTCTGTGCTTCTGGTTTGCTCGGAGACTCTGGTTCCTCTTCATAATGTCGCTATCACCCACTGAGGCACCTGCTGTCAAACTTTGTGATCCCGGTAAAAAATCTGGAAGTTTCTCCGTCGGACTGCATGCGTGACTTCTCTTCCCCTTCCCTTTTTTCTGAATCGTTGCCTCCTTGCATATTCTTGACATTTTGTAGACCTCTAGGCACAATCTTGCTTTCCTTGCTTTCTTCCTCTTCGGCTTACTCCTCAGATTTTGTCTATTAGCCCTGTCTATCCAATCAGCAGTCCCCCCTAAGTCACTGTCGATTTCCTTCCAGAAATTTTCGTTGGTCTCCTCTGAATTAATTTGTTTCCCAATATTCCTTTTGTTTTTTTGGATCCAGTCCATCTTCCTTTGTATTGTCATCACTATTTTGAGCCATTGGACCCATTTCAGCCATCAGCCCATCTGGCCTTCCTCCCGAGGGGTCTCCCATGATGGCTTTTTCACTATTTTTGGTATTTCTTACAGCTAGCCTATCTTCATTTGGCCCATCAGTTTCTCTTTGAGTTAGCTCGTCATCTTCACCCCTTTCCAGACTTCCCCTGACTTCTTCTTGTGCTTGGCATTTATTATCCCTGCCATTGGCCGCCTCTTGGGACTCTAAGCACATCAAGCTATCAGGCACCACTTCCAAAGAGTCTAAATTCAAATTTCTGGCTTGTGAGACATCTACCGCCACTTTACTCTCCCTTTTTTCTTTTGATTTTCTGACTTCTTCATCCTCCATCTAATTTACTGACTTTTCCTCTTCCCTCCAACGTGCAAATGCCACGTTGTCATATGCAGCTTTCATTGCATCCTGTTCTTCCACATAGTGTGAGCTTCTACCTTGAATACCATAAGCTTCCTCGCCATACTCCGACTGTGCATTACTCCCCAACGACCAAGCCTCACTATCCTCCGAGTCCTCATGGTTGCTAAAAGCATAATTTGATTTTAATCTAAACAAGTGCTCTGTTGATTCCTCCTCTGTCACCTTGATTTTGTATTGAGCTCCCCTAATTGTGATGGTGACTGGTCTAGAAATAAACTCCATTA